TGCTTGCCTATGAAAACCATTTAAAATAATTTTCCAGAGATGTAAACACTAACTTAATTCTCTCATCTCTCAAAGGGCAAATCTTTGTCGTGACCTAGTTATATTTTAACTTCTTCCTTCAAATTGTTAAATATTTTTTTATTTTGGACATAGATACATCACAAGAAGGAGGATTTCGTGTAAATTAGATAGGCACATCCAAACTTGCTGAACAAGTATTACTGCCTAGTTTCATAAACCATTCAGTTTTAAAAACATTAGACCAAAAGTACAAATTCAAATTATAAACTCAAATTTGAACCAACTCTGCAAAATACTTTCTACATAAATTTTTCAGGTCTTTTAAGGAGAACAATTCTAAAAAAACTAGGGTAATCCTAACAATATAGTCATAGTTGAGCAAGTAACTGTTAAAATAATCCTTCTACACAACAGGACCTGTATGTCAAATGCTAGAGAAACGAATAATATTATTGTGACACACCTTCTGCAAGAAATATGAAAAATATGCTTGTTTTTCATTTAAATAAAATTTTCAACTATTATGTAGTTTACGGACACGCAAAACAAAAAATTTACAAAAAACATTACTTATATAAAACTTTTCTATATTCATCTTACATCTTAAACCATTTTCAAACCCAACAAAACAATTCGAAGCACAAAATGATGAGAGCTAAATTATTAGTGGTAACATTTACATACTACTTTACAAAGTGGAACAATTAAAAGAAAAGGGAGCTATGAGAACTGAACAGATACTAAAGTTTTCTCAAACACTAGACACTCTTGTGCTCTTGTTATTTAATTAAGAACTAAAATGGCCACATTACACAATGCAATATGATTTAACAATGACGTCATTTACCGAAAGCTACTGGAATGAATAAATAGGAGCAAGGGAAAAGGTCTAAAGACTGTCTTCTCAGTCTTTTCAGATCTGAGTTTTAAAGGAGACCTTTTCTACTTAAAATCATTTAAAAAGTACTAACATCACCTTAAGAAACAAATATAATATTTGATAAAGCAAGCAAATGATGCAGAAACATTTGACATATTTGATAAAGTGTATTATTTTAAAACAGGAAATTCTCTTGTATGACCTTTTCACTAGAACAATTCTCAACACATTTAAATCATCCAAATCTACTTATCACTAATGTTCAAATGCACTAGGCTAAAATACAAGTTTTTAACAAATTAGGTCTCAGCAATCTGACCCCAAGTTTAGTGACACTGTTGGCAAACCAACTCTAGTATCACGTTCAACTTAACTTCTAAGAGAAGACATTTTCCTGACCCCGATAAAACCAAACAGATGTGAATTTTTTATTTTTAGTGCCTGAAATTTGCTTCTTGAGTGAATTATAGACATCAAGGAAGTATGTTCTATTCTCCTGCCAAAACCCTGCACTCTTTATTAGGCCGAACTCCCACGAAGTCACCCAAACTCAGTCTTTGAAAGCCAGCCCCCACTCAACCTGGGTTAACAGTTTTCAGGTCTCAGCAGTTATTGGGGAAAAAACCCTAAAGCTTTAAAGTGAAAAAACAAAAACAAGATCTATGAGTGTGACTACAAAATGAGAGGAAAGGGTGTTGGGGGGAAAAAAAGAAAAAGCTGCTAACTTTAAAAATAAAGCAAAAACTAAGCCCATCAATCATTTCACTGTCTAGAAACTAAACTTAGTTTACTGGGTGGTCCCTTTCTCACTACCACTCAGCAGGGGCAGGGCCAGGAAAAACACAGGAATACAAAGGTGCTGGTTTGTTTCTAAGTTTGTGCCTTTGCCTGTGTATTCAGCAAACAGAAGTAAACAAGAATAGAAGTCAACAGGAGAGCTTAGAAATTTTTAAAGATTCTTTTACTTTTTAATAAGAAATGTAAACAAACCAAGTGAACACCATGGAAGCTTTAGTCTTTCACAACTATGTTATTTATCAGCCTATTCTATTCTACTACATTATACTGCCAACAGGTTGAGTTTTTCTAGTAAAATAACTATATACCAGAAAAGGTAAAATGAGACACTGCAGCTTCTAGGCAACAGCTGAACAGCACTAAACGTCAAGGAAATAATTTTATTACCTTTCATTAAGAATGAAGTCAGTCCTGACAGGTTTGGCTCAGTGGATAGAGCGTCAGCCTGTGGACTCAAGGGTCCCAGGTTCGATTCTGGTCAAGGGCATGTACCTTGTTGTGGGCACATACCCAGTGTGTGTGTGTGAGGGGGTGCATGAGGCAGCTAATCGATGTTTCTCTCTCATCCATGTTTCTGACTATCCCTCTTCCTTCCTCTCTAAAAACTCAATAAAGTATTAAAAAAAAAAAAAAAATGAAGTCAGATCAACTGAAGAGAAAAAAATGTTGCACAAGTATGACTAACCAGAGAGGAAACCATATCTTCAGAAACCACTATTAATGAAGCAAAGAACTTCAATTCTCACAAAATGGCCTTTCAGTGCCTCATCTAATTACTAGTGAATGTCAAGCTGCTGCTACCTTACAGAAAGGCATGAATTTTCTTGAGCTCAGAGACCATCTATAACAGCTAGGTAGCCCTATCCTATGACACATTAAATGGCAGACTTCCCCAGAGCATGATTTAGCATTGAGTGCCTCATAACTACTCCTTAGAGCTTAAGTAATAAACCTTTTAGAAATTGCAGGGATCCAAATTATTATTAATGGGAACAATTCCACAGCTTTGCTTTCCTATGAAGAGCAAACTACTAGATATAACCTGGGAGCTAAGAGAAAACAAACATACTAATGTAGATTAACCAAAAAGTATCTAATTTTCCAGGCTGTTAGTTTCCGTTTTTTATTAAACTTTCCTCATAATTTTTAGTCTATAAAATACTTGCCAGCTCTAGAGCATTAAATTTCAAAGGAGCAAAAGCTACACATTCTTAACAAACTAAAGGATTTTTCTAAAGTCCAGACTTATAACAGGTAATGAAATGCCCTAGGAGAATTAACCACAAGCTCAAGCTCTGGCTATAGTCTCATCACTTAAAAGTGCTTTTTAATATCTCAATGTCCTTACCGAGAAAATAAAGCAATTTACAGATGATTTCTTAGGTCACTTCCAATTGTAACTTTCTAGTCTAAGATCACTAAGAAAATTACTGTCTTGATAAAGCTCAAAATACAGTCCTTGTAAATACACCTTAAGAATGTAAAAAAGTTAGGGAACTTGATCCCCCAACCCAGATTTTCCAAACCTTCAGAAGGCAGGAAATATGGCTGGCTGCCTATTTGTTATTCTCACTTATATAAGAACCAATTTAAATGGAATGACATGCTATAATAAAAGTAAGCATTTCATACACCTATCTATATTCCAATAGAACTAGAAGTTCAATGGCATTAAATAATTCCCCTTAATTTTTATATATCATGCCAGAATATAAAAACATATTTATATATCATTTTATCATGCTTTAGTAGAGATTAGCAAACTTGTGATGGGATTTAAAATGATACATTCTAAATAGACTGTCAACTTTTTAAATAGATATGACATAAATTTCAAATTAACCAATTTGAAATTCACTTAGTTCAAAGTGAATGACTGAATATTGTAGTCAACTGATTCAATACACATTCTTATACATACCTCTTTCCAAAAGTCTATTTTTCCCTTCAATATTCTCCTTATTCCTAATTCCTCGCAACTCCACCTTCCTACTCCATTCCAGGCCTCACTTCCCTTCTCTCCCCTTCTTCCTCAACCATACACTATTTTCATAGCAGTCTAAGAAGTGGTTCTCTTATCTAGGAAATATCAGAATCATCTAGGAAGCTTATTAAAAATATACATTAGAGGCAAGGGGAGGTGGATGGACTCTACTTTTAAGGTAAGTAGGAGTTAAAAAAAAATAAAAAATTAAACCTTGAGTAACCAGCTTGCGCAGGGTAGAACATCCTGATTAACTAAAGATTATGCCAAAGCCGGTTTGGCTCAGTGGTAGAGCGTCGGTCTGCAGACTGAAAGGTACCAGGTTTGATTCCAGTCAAGGGCATGTACATTGGTTGTGGGCACATTCCCGGTAGGGGGTATGCAAGAGGCAGCTGGTCGATGTTTCTCTCTCATCGACGTTTCTAGCTATCTCTCTCCCTTCCTCTTTGTAAAATATCAATAAAATATATTTTAAAAAATAAAAAATAAAAAAAATAAAGATTAACCAGAGAACTTATTTTGTAGAAAAAAAATCCTTCTGGAACCCATCATGTCACTATCCCCCTCACTTAGGAGTTACAATTCTTCATGAGAAATATCTGATGATTTAATAACTGACCTATAAATAAGTCAAGTTTATAATCAATTCTTATCCTACACAAGAGTGGACTGAAAGGCTAAATAAAGCCCTCAAGCTAAGAATGATTTTACATTTTTCACAGGCTTGTAAAAAACAAACCAAAAAAAATATGATTAAGACCATATATAGCCCTTGCCCCAGCTGTTTTGCTCAGTAGATAGAGCCCCGGCCTGTGGACTGAAGGGTCTTGGGTTGATTACAGTCAAGGGCATATGCCCAGGCTGCAGGCTCAATCGCCAGTAGGGGGCGGGCAGGGGCAGCCAATCAGTAATTCTCATCATTGATGTTTCTCTCCTCCCTTCCTTTCTGAAATCAATAAAAACGTTAAAAAAAGAAGACCATATATAGCCCTAAAATAAACACTATTACTAGGCCTAAAATAATATGTACTATCACACCCTTTACAGAAAATGTTTGCAGATCCTTATTCTGTAGTATTAAAAGCACTGGAGGTACAGATTTCAGGGACATTGCCCAGAAGTGCTCCTTTCTCATCAGGTTAACTGGGGGGGAAATTTTCTGTTAAATCAGTTCCAAATAGAATCATTGCTATTTTTCTAACTGACTTGCCTAAATGATTAGCCCTTAAGAAAGTTACTCCCTTCTTTGGAATCAACAGTTTCAGCTGAGATGCTACTTAGCTGTGAATCTAAATGCAAAAAAATTTGAAGCCTTACCTGGGGCATTTGCAATAGTCAAGGGCAGGCTTGGAAGCTGGTGCACCTGGATTCCTGAAGCACCCAAAGCACTGAGGTTAATAGTCTGGAGACCAGGCATGGAGGATAGTTGAGCGGCATTCACAGTGACCGTGCCCGCAGGGATAGAGGCAGCTGAGGCTATGGGTGTAAGGGTGGTATTGCTGCTGCTGGTCTGCCCCAGGGAAACACCCTGCATTGGGGCCAAGGTGATTGTCTGGGCCTGTGGGTTTTGAACTTGGAGGTTCTGCAGCTGAAGAGTCTGCCAACTGACCTGTCCATTGGGCCCCACTGTTGGTGTCCGGATGATGATGGGACCAGAGTTTGGAACAGCCTGAAGCTGAAGGTTCTGGAGGGTTTCCTGGGAGATAGCTTGAGTTGTAAAGGTCTGCCCTGACAATGGTGCTGCTTGAAGAGCCTGGAGGGTCTGTCCCCCTTGAACTAATTGAGGCTGGATAAGAATTTGTTGTTGCTGGGACTGTTGGTTTTGTTCTCCCTCTTTTTGCTGACTTGTTTGCAGTGAACCTCCAGATGTCTGGTTCTGCTGGATATTCAGAGTATCAGATCCCTGTAGCCCACTAACCCTCTGGGATGTCTGTCCTTGAGAGTTGGTCCCTGCTGATCCGCTGGTGGTAAAGTTCATAATTCCCATGTTGCTGGTGGTAGTAGTTGTTGAATAGCTATTGGCATTGGTGAAAAAGGAGCTGGAACTGGCTTGTGATGATACCAAACTGGCAGAACTAATGGCAGTCCCTGAGGTGACGGGCTGTGAGCCACTCTCCTGGGACCCAGAGCTGCTGATCGTGACTGCCTGAGAGCTAGGAGTCAAAGTAGCTGCAGAAACGCTGTTAACAGGTAGCAAGGTGATATTCCCATTCAGGGCCACCGGCACATTGGTCACATACTGAGTCTGTCCCGAGAGGACGTTATTAGCCAGGCCTTGGAGGGGGACAGCCTGCTGGAGTAGATTTGGCATAGCAGCAATGATGTTGCCTCCACTTCCTCGATTTGTGATGATCTGTTGGTTTGCACCTGGTATAATCTGTATTTGACCAGAACCGTCCTGCTGCACTTGGGCCCCAGTGGTAGCAAATTGCAGCTGTTGCCCATCAACGGTCTGGAACTGTGGGATTACTTGATACTGAATATTAGGCATCACACCAGGTAATCCTGTCAGGACTTGCTGGTTCTGTAAGTTGGAGGTGGCAGCCACAACATACTGCCCACCAGAGACGGTACGATTCTTGGAAGACTCACTGCCATTGCTGCCATTGGTACTGCTGCCACTCTGTTCCTTTGAGGTAGGAGTAGCCCCAGAGGAGGAAGAGATGATCTGCCAGCCGTTGGCACCCTGTGAGAGTTGTGTGGCTGTGAGGTCAAGCTCACTGGTGCCCCCTGACTGGCTTGGGCCCTGGGAGTTGTTGCTGTTTTCATTGGGTGATTCAATTCTGCTGCAAGTGGCTGCCAACAGAGCCAAAGGGGATGGCTGGGATTCCTAGCCAAAAAAATGAGAGGGAAAGAATTAGTTTAATGACATCCAGTTGCCAGCCTAGGGGGCAGTATACAACAGCAAAAAGTGCAGAAAACCCAAGAGCAAAAAAAAAAAAAACCACACACACACAAAAAACAGCCTTGGGACTGAAGGGTCCCAGGTTCGATTCCGGTCAAGGGCACATGCCCAGGTTGCCAGCGTGCAGGAGGCAGTGACCAATGAATCTCATCATTGATGTTTCAATCTCAATCTATTTCTCTTTCTCTCTCTCTCCCCCTTCCTCTCTGAAGTCAACTTAAATATATGTATTTAGCCCTAGCTGGTTTGGCTCAGTGGAGAGTGTCAGCCTGTGGACTGAAAGGTCCCCTGTTCGATTCCAGTCAAGGGCACGTGCCCGGGTTGTGGGCTCCACCCCCAATAGGGGAGATGTAGGAGGCAGCCAATCAATGATTCTTTCTCATCATTGATGTTTCTGTCTCTCCCTCTTCCGTAGTCGCTGGAATCAATAATAAATATATTTAAAAAGTATAGACATATACTTAAAAAAACAACAAACATATAAAAAAAATCTGTTGCTGAAATTCTCATCTTTGGGGAATCATCTCCAAGTCACCTGTCTCTCTGTACTTACTTCCCTATAAAAAAACAAAACACACACACACAAAAAAACACATCTAAAACTATACATCCTCTCAACACTTTCCCCACTCTGTCCTGATGGTTCCTTACCTGTCCTCCTCCTCCTCCTCCTCCACTGCTGCTGGTACTGCCTGTGCTGCTGCTTCGAGCCTGAGAAAAGGCACCACCACCATTACCATTGCCATTGCCATTGCCCCCATTATTGCCACCAACTCCTTTCTCAATCTTCACCACGGCTGTCATTTCATCCATGGAGTGATCTTGGTCTAAAAAGAATTAGAAGATAAACAACTTAAAGTTGGGGGAAGGAAAAGGGTAAGATGAGGAAGGGTAGAGGAGGTTATGAGGAAACAGACATGACTAAAAGGTGAAAGGCGCCAGTGAGGGGGGTGGGGGGGAATGGATGGGAGAGAAGGGACAATTGTAGGACACATAGGACGAGAACTAGGCTCCCTGATGCCAAACTGGGCCTCAGCTCTCCTTGTTACAAACTTAGACTCAGGAAATATTGAAAAGATGCTTTTGGTATAGGAAATGTGAAAGACAGTGGGCATGCTGAAAGAGTTTCAAAATAAAAACTATGGGGCAGGGAAGGGTGGGCTAAGGCAAAAAAACTACATGTGGATGTATAGAAAGCTTGATAAAATTAGGATCAAAGGAGATAAAGAATGAGAAAAATTCAAATATTAAGAAGTTAACAAAAGGGAAGAAGGGGGGAAAAGAAGAGATAAAAAGTGTGAGTGGGGAAACATTTGTGAATTCTGGTTAAGGGACTAAAGGGGTCCAGGGATTACAAATCTGGAGGTTTCCGGGCGGACCGAGGGCGGACCCTAGAGGGAAAGGGCGGTTTCGGGGTGAGGGGCGTGGAAAGGGCGGGGCGGTAGGGGGGGAGGGGAAACCTACGGGGGGGGGGAGGGCCCTGGGGCAGGCGGTGACCAGAAGGCGGACCGGGGAGGCGGTTGGCCCGGGCGGGGCCTGCACTGCTGGGCCACCCCCGCAGCTCCAGCCCCCGACGGGAGGAGCCTCAGGCAGGCGGCCGAGTTGTGGGGGGTAAGGCCCGTCCCCCCGCGGCCGGGGCGGGCAGGGGGCGGGCGAGGCCACTCTGCCCCCTCCCCCGGGGCGGGTGGCCCATCCCCCTCCTCCTCGGAGGCCCCGCCACTGCCCCTTCTCCCTCCCTTCCCTCCGCCCCGGGCGGGACCAAGGCCGCCGCCGCCGCCTCCCGCCCGCCCCCCCTCACGGCGGGGACCGCCCGGTCGGCCCTTGCGCGCGCCCCCTCATTCCCTACCACCCCTAAGCTTTGAGTGGACTCATCCTTACCGCTCATGGTGGCAGCTGAGGGACGAGCTCAAGGGGGTCCTGTCCGGGGGGGTTGGGGGGGGCCGGGAAAAACGCGGACGCTGACGAGGCAAGCGAACCCGGACCGGACAGGGAGGGGGGGGTAAGGAGGAGGGAGCAGCGCGCCACAAGCCCAGCCTAGGCCCCTCCTCTTCGCTGCTGCCCCGCCCAATGAGGGAGGGAGGAAGGGGGGACTTGCAGAAGAAAGGCGGCCAGGTAACCCAATGGTAAGACTCGCTTGCTCTCTAAGGCGTGTAAGACAAAGTTGCGTGCCCCGCGTCCGCCCTAAAAGGCCGCCTCCTCAGTTTCAAAAGCCAATGAGAGACGCAGGAAGTGAAAATGGGCGGGAACTATACATGATAGGCTTGGAAAGAAACCAGTCAACTGCCAGGCGGGCTCCCTGCGCGGTAGGGATTGGGAGAGCTTTGACCGGAATGACAAAACAGCGACCAACCAAAACCCTGGACGTGCCTGAGCAAAGTCCTGGAGGGCGGAGGCTAAAAAGTAGACAGGAATGGGGTAGGATGAAGCTGCTGGAGACCAATTAAGAATCAGGCGGGCATCCAGGAAAGTTATGATTGGATTAACGCTGAAAAAAGACAAGATAAGACGCAAATTGACGGAACTAAAAGCCAATTAAATGCCGAGTGAACTCTGAGGGCGGCAGCTTACAGTAAGCAGAGGAGAATTGGCGTCTCCGTCAGTCACTGAGTCCAATAAGGAAGCGAAGAAAGCTAGGGCACCGCCTCCATCTTGGCCAATGGGCGTTGCTAAGACTGCCTGTTGCGGGGGTGGGAACAGGGCTGTGCCAGTGGGAGTCCGTCGCCATTTTGGCCCTTTTCAGGGGACGTCTTTACAATCACTAGGCGTGTCTCCAACGGCTCAGCTAGTGTCTGGGCCAAGAAGCTCGAGGCGCAGTTGTCACTCGCCACAGGGCTCGTTAGAGTCTCCCTTTAAGGACCCTTAAAAAGTACTTCTCAAACCTTACGGCTCCCGGGCGGCCGGATGCCTCTGAACGTGGGTGGAAACCCTGACGCGCGGCGTGGGCGCGCACACCGTCAGCCAATACTGAGCCGACCCATTAGCGAGGTCTTTATGAGACTCTAGCAAAAGCCATTTTTTTTTTTAAATTAAGTTTCCCTAAAGATGTAGACCATGTAACGTGTAGCGAGTTAACTTTTCCAGAGCTTGTCTTAAAGCGGGGGGGATAGGGGTGGGGGGATCTTTTCTGCCAAAGGCTGTTTGGATATTCATAACATTCAAGGGCCATACAAGATTATCAACTTAAAAATAAAAATTAGCCTCCTATATTTTGGTCAAACATTCCATTAACTCACCCCTAATGCCTTGGCAGAGCCAAACCAAATTATTTGGGGGGCCTTATAAGAGCTACTTACCCCCCACCCCGCCACACACAATTTTAAATACCTTTTGTGCATAAAAGATAACAAGAGTTCCTGCTTTTTGTAACTACAAAGATTAAGGGTTTTCCCCCAGGCACCTGAATTTCTGTCCTCCCGTTCTGCCTCTCCTTTATCCTACTTTTGGTGGAGGCGGCCTGGGTGGCTTGTCAATGATATGCTGAGGTCATTTTCTTTAGTCCTTGTATATTATGTGTCACTTTATTATCTACAATTTCAAGACTTTATGATAGATTGTCATGTTTTAAAGTATGGATTCCCCTAAAACAGACCTTTGCTGCTTTGGGCAGAGGCTGAAGAAGGTGAAGTGATTGTGGAATGTTAGGTGCCTAGGTCATGAAGGTGTTTTTTAATTCCTTATGTCATCTTCATTAGGAAGATATTAGTAAGTATTAGAGATGTTATGTATTTTACAAGTGAAATTAAGGCTGGGAAGTAACTTGACCAAGGCCGCAAAACTAATGAGTTGTTCCAGATTCCAACCCAGAATAGATCCATAAAAACTCTCCCATTGATTCTTTAGTGAATAAAGCAATGCTTTGTGTAACCACTTATAAAAATGGGCTTAATTGGGGGTGGGAGCAGGGTGGCTGGGGGAAGGGGAAATTTGTACTTTCAACAATAAAGATAAATATAAAAAATAAAAGCTACGTGAATTATTTAAAAAATGGGCTTAATTTTTTTAAAAAAAATTTGTTGTTTCCTGCTTCTTTCCCTCTATCTTCCCCTCTTCTGGCTTTTTTTTTTTTTTTTTTTTTTTTTTAATCTATTTTATTGATTTTGTACAGAGAGGAAGGGAGAGAGAGAGAGAGTTAGAAACATCGATGAGAGAGAGTCATCAATCAGCTGCCTCTTGCACACCCCCTACTGGGGATGTGCCCGCAACCAAGGTACATGCCCTTGACCGGAATTGAACCGGGGTCCCTTCAGTCCCCAAGCTGACGCTCTATCCATTGAGCCAAACCGATTTCGGCCTTCCTCTGGCTTTTTCCTCCTAACTCAGGGAAGTCCTTCTCCATGGCCTCCCAGAAGGGGTCTGAGCCTTTATTGTTTATTTTTAATGTGTTGGGTTTTTTTGGGTTTGTTTTTTTGTTTGTTTTGTTTTGTTTGTTTTTTTGCTATTACCTTCTAGCTACTGGGGGGTGAGGGGAACCTGCCCATAATTCAAATGGCATCATCCTCTTATATAGCTTTATTATAAAACATCACATTACATTAATATTAGCAGCATTGCTCTCTAGATCAAAGCTTCTCAAAATATAGTGTCAGACAGTATCAGAATCCTGTGGACTGCTATTTGGATTCCTAGACCCCACCTCATACCTAATAAATCTAATTATCTGGGGTGGGGCTTGAAAGTATGCATTTTTAAGTAGCTCTTTCAAAGTGATTAGTCCCAGAGACAGTTTTAAGAAACACTAAGGGAGGAACCTGGAGAGAAGAAACTTCCAGAAGGGAAGAAACTTCCCAGAGGGAAGAAACTGCATTACTCATCTTTGTAAACCAAGCTCGGGATTCTAACAGCTGTTTAATGCATTGAGCAAAAGACCACACCTAAACTTGGGGGCAGGGTGGGGGTGGAGGGTGGGAGGGTGTGTACTGTCTAACCTTGTGGAGCAGTTCTGTCTAATCTATCTCCTCTGACTTAATCCTTTCAACCAATTTAGAAAACTGCCATCCCTTTGACAGATGAGAAAACTAAGGCTCAAATTTTTAAATTATAACAGTCTGTTTCATTCCAAATCATGTGGGGTGTTTTTTTTTTCCATAGTTCTAAGCTATTCTATGCTGAAATGGTAACTCGGATTTTATTTTATTCCACGTAGTAGCTTAGATTTCGACTCAGGGATTCAAGAGCCATCATCTTTTTCATAATACTCTCTCTTTGCTTCTCCAGGACAAGACAGAATTCAGAACCTGGCCAGTGAAGGATGTCCTCAACATATGCTTCTTGATGGTCCCCAAAAGCAAGTGGACACGATCCATCTTGTCTATTTCACCTGTGAAAACCTGAACAAATTTTCTTTAGACTAAACACAAAATACAAAACCCAAAATGAATAAACTTATTTCAAGACCTCTCAAATTACTTAAATAATTTTTACAGACTGTGTTTAAAAAGCAATGTGAGAAAAACAAAGTTGGAGGAATCACAATACCGGATTTCAAGTTATACCACAAAGCCACCATAATCAAAACAGCCTGGTACTGGCACAAGAGCAGTCATATAGACAAATGAAACAGAACAGAAAACCCAGAAGTTGACCCAAGCCATTATGCTCAATTAATATTTGACAAAAGAGGCAAGAGCATACAATGGAGTCAGGACAGCCTCTTCAATACATGGTGTTGGGAAAATTGGACAGATACATGTAAATAAAAATAAAACTAGGCCACCAACTTATACAAAAAATGGACAAAAGACTTAAATGTAAATCATGAAACCATAAAAACTCTAGAAGAAATCATAGGAAGCAAAATCTCAGACATTTCTCACAGCAATATGTTTATAGATACATCTCCTAAGACAAAGGAAACTAAGGAAAAATAAATAAATGGGACTACATCAAAATAAAAAGCTTCTGCCCAGCAAAATAAACCACTAACAAAAAGAGAACCCAGTGTATGGAAGGACATATTTGGCAATGATACATCTCATAAAGAGTTAAAATCCAAGTGCTCACTTTGGCAGCACATATACTAAAACAAGACAGAGAAAATTAGCATGGCCCTGCACAAGGATGACACAAAAATTCATGAAGCATTCCATATTAAAAAAAAAAAAAAAAAAAAAAAAAGACAATATACAAAATATGTAAGGAACTCATTTAACAAAAGGAAGACAAATTATCTAATTAAAAAATGGGCAGCCGAAACCGGTTTGGCTCAGTGATAGAGCATCGGCCTGTGGACTGAAAGGTCCCAGGTTCGATTCCGGTCAAGGGCATGTACATTGGTTACGGGCATATCCCCAGTATGGGGTGTGCAAGAGGCAGCTAATCGATGACTCTCTCTCATCGATGTTTCTAGCTCTCTATCTCTGTCCCTTCCTCTCTGTAAAAAATCAATAAAATATATATATTTTTAAATGGGCAAAGGATCTAAATAGACACTTCTCCAAAGAGGACAGACAGATGGCCAAGAGACATATGAAAAAATGTTCAATTCACTAATCTGAGAGATGCAAATCAAAATGACAATGAGGTACCATACTGTCAGAATGGTTACCATCAACAAATCAACAAATGGCAAGTGCTGGTGAAGATGTGGAGAAAAGGGAACCCTTGTGCACTGCTGGTAGGAATGCAGACTGGTGCAACCATTATTGAAAACAGTATGGCCTTTCTTCAAAAAATTGAATATGGAACTGCCATTTGACCCAGTGATCCCACTTCTAGGAATATAGCCTAAGAAACCCGAAGCACCAATCAGAAAGAACGTGTGCACCCCTATGTGCATAGCAGCACAACTTATAATAGCTAAGATCTGTAAACAGCCCAAGTGCCAATCAGTAGATGAATGGATGAAAAGCTGAGGTACATTTATACCATGGAATACTATGCAGCAGTAAAAAAGTAGAAGCCCTAGCCAATTTTGCTCAGTGGATAGAGCGTCGGCCTGTGGACTGAAGGGTCCCAGGTTTCGACTCTGGTCAAAGGCACATGCCCAGGTTGCAGGCTCAATCCCCAGTAGGGAACGTGCAAGAGGCAGCCGATCAATGATTCTCTCTCATTATTGATGTTTCTCTCTCTCTTCCTCTTCCTTCCTCTCTGAAATCAATAAAAATATTTTAAAAATAAAAAAGAAGAATATATTAATCTTTGAGAGCATGGAGGGACTTGGAGAGTATCATCCTAAGTGAAATAAGTCAGTCAGAAAAAGATAAGTATCATATGATTGCACTCATATGTGGAATCTAAGTAACAAACAGATGAACGGAGTGGATCCAGAGACGTGGAAGCATGAAACAGAGTGCAGAATCTCAGAGAAAGGCGGGGGAGGGTTGGTGGGTGGAAGACAACCAAAGACCTTGTATGCATATATGCATAATCCATGGACACAGACAATAGGGTGCTGAAGGCCTGGGGTGGGGTGGGGTAGGGATCAATGGGGGGAGGGGAGGAAATAGGTGACATATCTAATACTTTTAACAATAATTATTTTTAAAAAGCAATGTGGCCTGGCCAGTGTGGTTCAGTGGTTGAGCATCACTCCATGAACCCAGAGGTTATCAGCTGATTTCATATCAGGGCACATGCCTAGCTTAAAGGTGAGGGGTGTGCAAGAGGCAGCCAATCTGTTTCTCTCTCATTGATGTTTCCCTATCTCTTTCCCTTTCTCTCCCTCTAAAAATAAAACATTTTTTAAAGTCAACATGGAGCCGAAACCGGTTTGGCTCAGTGGATAGAGTTTTCCCCAAACACATGCTTTCTTGGGTCTCCAAAGACCAGAATCATAGTTCACTCAGCTTGTTCTTCTGGGCTCCTAAAATTTTACTCTTATTTTTTATAAGAATAATTTCTATGAAGTCTTTCTGACCTCCTCCATGAATCAAATACTCTGTCCACTGTCTTCTTTGTATATACATCCATTAGAGGTATATAAACATCTTCAAGTAGACAAAGCAATCTGAAAACCCAGATGATGCTTTTTCATTTTGTATCCTCAAAGCCTGGCATGTAGTTGACAGAGGAAGAGGAAGATGTAGTTCCTGAACGTCCTATACAGGTCTCCAGATATTGCAATGCTGAGGATTGATTGTCAGCCTTCAGTTGGTTGCCTTTTGCAAGTTATATCAAGGGGATGTTCATGGTGAACACCAAGGTGCCTCGTGCCTAGGTGCCTGACAGCTCCTCTCTTCACTCACCCAGTAGTGGCGCAGGCCACTGCCATGCCCACCAAGTACATCATGGTGCGTGTGATTCCAGACCAGCACTTTCCCTGTACAAGTGAGCCATGTGTAGTCTGCGGCCTGCACAGCATGGGCAAGATTGGTGGCGCGCAGAACAGAACCATTCCAACAGCCAGCTGCTGTGCAACCTGCTGGCCTAGAGCCCAGATATAAAATACTGAGACAAGAACAGCTCCACTTTCCCTGAGGGCCACACCAACCCAACCCACCTCAGCAGGCCCTGCAGCCCTCCACATTTCCCTACCCTGCTTCCAGGGACCACCAGCTCCTGCTCCAGAGAAATAAATGGTTTAGAGATTAATAATAATAATAATAATAATAATAATAATAAATCATTCTTCCTGATTTTGAAAACACTCTTAGCTTTCATCAACTTCCCACACAGCAATCTGGTAACTGGGAAGAGTTTACAAATTATAATACTGATAATTCAAAAAATGAAATACAGATGATTCAAAATCTTTTTATACCATCTTTGTAACATTCCCTCTCAGAAAGCTTTCAACTATAGCTAAGTGCAAAATTGACTAACATTTCTTTTACTTGTTCTGGCTACTCTAGAATAAAGGAGCTGCTGAAACCGGTTTGGCTCAGTGGATGGAGTGTTAGTCTGCGGACTGAAAGGTCCCAGGTTCAATTCCGGTCAAGGGCATGTACATTGGTTGTGGGCACATCCCCAGGAGGGGGTGTGCAAGAGGCAGCTGGTCGATGTTTCTAACTCTCTATCCCTCTCCCTTCCTCTCTGTAAAATCAATAAAATATAAAAAGTAATTTTTTTAAATAAATAAAAAATTTAAAAAGAGTTTGGAACTCTTTGGATAAAAATGTTTTAGAATAAAGGCGCTTAGGGGGAAAAAAGCAAGAGCCGCTGACAAGTTAAGTTCTAACAGCCTAAACAGATAATGTTCTAAACCTTTATTCTAACTCTCAAAACAAGAAAACAAGGTGTTTATGTTTTTATTGATTTTAATTTTTTAAATATATTTTTATTGATTTCATTTTTTAAAAAAATATACTTTTATTAACTTCAGAGAGCGAGAGAGAGAGAGATAGAAACATCAATGATGAGAGAGAATCATTGATCAGCTACCTTCTGCACACACCCAACTGGGATCCAGCTCTTATCTTGGGCATGTGCCCTGACTGGGAATTGAACCTTAACCTCCTAGTTCATGAGTTGACGCTCAACCACTAAGCAATCGTTGCTGGCAAGCCTGGGTTTTTCACACATGCAGTCTAAAGTGACTTCCCCATGCTACGGTGTCTAGAAGCTTGATGGATCATCATACACCTTCCTGTCTTTTTAGGGCTCTGGAAAGACAAGAAACAACAAAACTATAACAAATCGGATTTCTTTCTGTTTGGGAAGCCCAGAACCTAGTGATGAGAAATCGGGGACTATTCTTATTCTTCTTATTTTTATTATCATTATTTTAAATAACTCATTCTGTATCTACGTTATGTCTTTGTTTCCTTATCTGAGAAGCACTGCCTTAACCTTACCTTTTACTAGGAAGGCCTTTGTTCAGAGTGGAACAAATATCCAAACAACCAGTCTGTGGATCTGGAGGTTTTCTGGAGGAGGAAAGTCTGAGGGGGAAAAATGAGTTTTTATCTTAAGAGTTCGGAGGCATGGTCAAGAATACATTTTAGTTATTGTTGGAACTGAACTCTGGCCCAACCTTCTAGAATACTTTCTTTTTTGAAGAGGGCTCTAAAAAGACAGGCCTGGCCGAAACCGGTTTGGCTCAATGGATAGAGCATCGGCTTGGGGACTGAAGGGACCCGGGTTCGATTCCGGTCAAGGGCATGTGCCTTGGTTGCGGACATATCCCCAGTGCGGGGTGTGCAAGAGGCAGCTGTTCGATGACTCTCTCTCATCGATGTTTCTAGCTCTCTATCTCTCTCCCTTCCTCTCTGTACAAAATCAATAAAATATATTTAAAAATAAAAAATAAAAAGACAGGTCTGACTGTGCACCCAGCTCATGGTCTCTGGAGCTTGAAGATCCTTTGGCAAATAAAAGCAGAGGTGATTTGAGCCACGGTGGGGAAAAGGAAGAGAAATTGTGTAATGACTCGAAATTCCACAATCCATTTGCATCTTGAGAGCTAAAGAAGCAGGCTCACTACCCTACCCTGCATTCCATCCAGCTCAGAGAGGAACCT